ATCGTGAGCGTTTATGAGCGTCCCATGCTCATATTCTCTGAATTTGCTTAAAGGGCCTCGCGGGAGTTCACGAATTCAAAGCAAAGGTTGCAGTTTGAGTTTAATCATTAGGCCCCAGACAGAAAGTCAATTAGTGGAGATCGATATTTTTAAGAAACATTGAAATCAGACGAGGGCACGACTGCCTCTATTAAAGAGCGCTAATGCATGCAAATACACAATTAACAGAGCAGGGGAAGCACAGAAAACATGTGAAACCGGTGATATGCTCCACTTCTGATCACATGAATAATTACACTATTGTCTTCACCCTGTTGAAAAAAACAGCATATGCTGGTTAGGTATGTTTTGACGCTGGGATGCTGGTTTAAGATGGTCCTTTTGCTGGTTTATGCTGGTCCTTTGCTGATATAGTTTGTGCGGCTGGCAGCGGCGTTCATGACAAACTGATGCAATTTCAGCGGTGTCGCGAGAGCGGCCTGATATTTGTCTCGTTCTGGTTCCTCCGAGCTCCAGATTTGAATCGCAGGGGTCCAGGGGCCCTTCTCCTGACAGGACACAAATAATTACAGGCCGCTCTCTTCATTGGCTCTTATATTGCTCCTCTTATCTGAAGGCCTGCGGTGCATTTGATCAAGTAAGGTCACTGTATTCTGACCATAACACAACATAACACTGCTATTTGGCGATACGATAAATAAAAGCCAGACAACGTTTTATCAGTTGTGTTATAGGCTATGTGTGTGCGCTTTAAGAAAGCATTTTCACTAAATGTGTTTTTGCTACAAGTCTGACTGAATTTCCAGGTTCTCTTCCAATGCAATTCCAATTTTTTCAGATTTAAATATGCAGTACATCACCTGCCCTGCAGGGGTCAAGCGGGTCAAGAGCTCAATAGTGTATATGTCGAACGTCACCTGACCAAACCCGGAAAACAGGCCTCATCGCTTCCGCTTGTCGGAGAACGTGCTGTAATTGATAATAGCGATATATATATATGGACTTAATCAGTTAAAATAGCTAGCAATTTATAAAATTTTTATATCTAAACGTTAGTGAAAAGAATCAAAATTAAAAAAACTTTTAGATATCAATCTGCATATGTGATGGACACTGGTTATGATATCTACTTTGAAGGCATCTTGAGTAAAACGGCTTCATATTTAACGAAGCACATGCAAAACGTTTGAACCGGAAGCGACGAGATTCGTTTAACAGAATACGGAAGTATAGACTGTATAAAAACATGGACGTAGTGTCCGTGACGTCACCCGTAGGTTTCTGAAGAGCGTTTTTGAAGCTCAAAGTGGGCGGAGCCTGCCGTCGCCATCTTGGCAGCGCGTCACCACGCGTCACTCCCAGATAATCGAACATGTGCAAAGAGGCGGGAGCAGGTTGCTGAAACCACGCCCACCTAGCTCGACGGCGGTGACAGCAGCGGCAATCCACCTGTCACTCAAGTGGCCACGCCCTTAATTATGCAGAACTTTAAGGGTTAATATAATTTAAACGGATGAGCTATAAAAACATTCACCCCCCTCACAGTCGTCATGAAGGGCAAAATTAGCTATATAGACCAAAAGCACTGTTTGAACCAGACTGTAAACACGTTTTTTTCTGCTGTAAAGTTGGGCATTTTAACATGAGGAGTCTATGGCACTGACTGTCTTTCATGTCAATCCAACCCAGTATTACGCTCTTTCTCCTGTACAACACTAAAGGAGAAATCAAAGAGCACCATAAAAATGTAATATAGCATCGTGAAAGAATCATGCTAACGGAAGTTGACGTGACTCGTGCTAACCTTACATTCGAGTCTTTTTAACGCAACAGTTCATCAAATAAACCATATTTCTGTCCTTATTTACTCTACTCTACCCTCACGACTGTAAAGGACTAAAACACGGAAACATTTCTCACAATATCTTATTTTGTGACCTTCATGTCAATCCAACCCAGTATTACGCTCTTTCTCCTGTACAACACTAAAGGAGAAATCAAAGAGCACCATAAAAATGTAATATAGCATCGTGAAAGAATCATGCTAACGGAAGTTGACGTGACTCGTGCTAACCTTACATTCGAGTCTTTTTAACGCAACAGTTCATCAAATAAACCATATTTCTGTCCTTATTTACTCTACTCTACCCTCACGACTGTAAAGGACTAAAACACGGAAACATTTCTCACAATATCTTATTTTGTGCTCCATTATTCGCTCAAAATCTTATATAATCAGGAGCAAGAGCCAATGAGATTTGAGCTCAGTTCCCGCGCTTCGGGTGTTTATCGGGATTTTCAGTGAAGCATAAGAATTACAGTGTATTATAATAAAATATAAAATTCCTATAATAAACCTGATCACCTCTATGATTCACGCAAATGATCAAACGACCTAAAAGACCATTTGTATTCAAATGTGTAACATGTTTGTTACATGCTTTAAAAATGTATTGTATTTTTAAAATGTAAAAATGGGAAGAAAATATATTTCGAAACATATTTTCGTAACACTTTACGATAAGGTTCCATTAGTTAATGTGAGTTTATATATTAACTAACATGAATGAACAATGAGCAATGCATTTATTACGGTATTTATTAATCTTTGTTTATGAAAATACAGTCGTTCATCGTTAGTTCACAGTGCATTAACTAATGTTAACAAGCACAACTTTTGATTTTAATAATGCATTAGTAAATGTTGAAATTAATATTAGCTAAGATTAATAAATGCTGCAGAAGTGTTGTTCATGCTTAGTTCATAAAGTAGTTAACTAATGTTTACCTTATTGTAAAGTGTTACCCATATTTTAGCAAACATAGCCTATTTTTTGACCATTTTTGGCCTTTTTAATATCATATGGGACATTCCCCCCAAATTATCATTACTGCAATGCAAAAATGTCTCACTCTCATTACTATGATGTGAAAAGAGTATTAGTTACGTTTCAAAGTATTAATACATCAATAATGGTAGGATTTGTTTTACAGCCTTCATGCGAATTTAAATGTGAAAACTATTTAATACAGTGATTTGACTGCAAAACATTACAGAAAAATGACTATATCACGATAATCTGAATCACCAATGACAACAAAAAGTAGCCTACATCAGTCGAGATGTTTTTGGCACGCTCGAGCCGTCCATTATAATAAATGTGATTAAAAAAAAACTTAATTTGTTGCAAACATTATTTTCATGAGTTCTGTTGACATCATAACGCTGATCGTTACATCAACTTAATGTTGTGTGCAATTTAATTAGATTAAAAAAAAATAAGTTAAAGGGTTAGTTCACCCAAAAATGAAAATTAGCCCATAAATTACTCACCCTCAAGCTATCCTAGGTGTGTATGACTTTCTTCTTTCAGACGAATCTAGTAGGAGTTATATTAAAAATTGTCTTTGATCTTTCAAGCTGTTTCATGGCACTCAGCAGGTGTTGCATGCATCAGTCCAAAAGAACTTAGATAAAAAGCGCCCATCCATAAAAAAAGCGTCTCACACGGCTCCGGGTGCTGAACAAAGGCCTCCTGTAGAGAATCAATGCGTTTTTGTAAGAAAAATATCCATATTCAAAACGTAATAATCACTTTAATGTAGCTTGCGCTCACTGTTGTACACAGAAGCAGCTCCGGCGGATGACGTATGAGTTCAGCGCTGCGCATGCGCCGGTGAGTCTCATGAAAATCCCCAGGAGCCATGTGAGACTTTTTTTATGGATGGGCGCTTTTTATTTCACTTCTTTTGGACTGATGCATGCAACACCCGCTGAGTGGCATTAAACCGCTTGAAAGATTAAAGACCATTTTTAATATAACTCCGACTGGATTCGTCTGAAAGAAGAAAGTCATATACACCTAAGATGCCTCGGGGTGAGTAATCTATGGGCTAATTTTCATTTTTGGGTGAACTAACCTTTTAAGTAATAAATAAGTTTATAAGTGCAAATTGGGAGGTACATTTCTAGTTCTCGGCATGCTTTGCATATAAGGAGAATAAACGTTTTAGTTTTTTTGTTATTTAGTAAATGGAGACACCTGTTACTGTTTAATGCTGACATGATTGACTTTTAAAAGATTTTGTTTATTTTTTACTTAAAATGTTTTAGTTTTTGTGGTTATCGTTGTGCTAAAAAGTAGAGCTTATAATTAATTACTAATTACATCTTCACCAGTGTAATTAGATTACTGTACTCATTACTCTCTCTGAAAAGTATTGCATTACTTATTATTAATTATTTTCTAAATCCCATATCGACCTTGACCGGTTGAGCAATACAGGATAGACATGAAACTGCTCGTTTATTTCTTGCAAATAATTAATATAAGGTTATTCTTAAAGCATTTAAGGTTACATTAAATACATATTTTAATTTTGATGTATTGTTTTATATAGAATTGTTCTATAGCCTATACAGTATTTAATGCAATTACATCAGTAAATAAATTAAATAATAATGTTAATAAATTTAAATAATTTTTTTAAAGTAAATAAATTACAAAAAAATTAAGAGTAATCCCCTACTTTACTTTTTTAAGGGGACTTGAAGTGACCTTTATTTCTTGGTAAGGCATTGCACCCAACACTGCTGGTGACTACATGAATGTATATACTACAATAAAAATATGAGCTTAAATTTATGCAAAATCATTTATAATAATTTATGCAAATAATAATTTTGCATGTGCTATTATAGAAATAGATCAGACTAATTTATTCCATGTTCACCATTCTATTATTACGTTGAAAAAAGTTAGTGAACAATATTTTTTTGAGCAATCAACTTTTGTGTTAATGCAACAAAATATTGAGTTCCTCTAACACAGTGTAGTTTGCTGGTTGAACATCATTTTATTAGAAATCGTCATAACTCCAAAAGATTGATGCAAACTGATGCATTAATTTTTTTTAGCGTGCAGAAGCTACAAGCCACTTTAAACTGAAGCCAAAAACATGAAGTCGAGATTCATTCCTTTATTAAGGTTGCACAGGAATGTAGAGTAAAAAATACTTGCGATGAAAAAAATCTGTTAGAACAATGAATCAACTGAAACGTCCCAAAATTTCAGGCTACAAAGCAAAATAAAAAAATATACATATGTATATCCGTCCGTCATGCACGAGCTCCCAGAAGCCTCGTCGATTATTGATGCTCTTAAATACTGATTATGAGAGAATAATGCTTCATTCTGTACATACGAGAGAAAGGAGAACAGAAAATGCTTCAGAAGGCCTTCCCCTGCCGGATCATTGCCTAATGCGACATTCAATCTGAGACGAACGAGCTGTGAATCGTGAAGAGACGATCGAAGGTACAAATATGAAGAGATTCAGATTCTGGGTTTATTAATGTAGTGCTATCATTAAGTCTGTGCAGCTTTTTCTTGCATGATCATACTGCGGAATAGAGAGAGACGGTGGTTTGATGAATTACGCGATCGCTTTGGCTTCAGGTAAGAACGCCTCCCAGTATTTTATCAGCTGAAAAACAGACAAAACAAACATGAGATGAACATTCCCAGCTGCTGATCTGGAAAACATGCTTCTTTCCTCTGATCACGCACCTGCTGCTGTGTGTGAACTAGTGACTCCAGATATTTAATGATGACGACTCTGAAATCCTTCACTCGGTCTTTCTGTGAAGAGAAAAAGACCCTCAGGTCAGAGAAACCAGCGTTGGGTTTAACAGCGAGAGCAAAGACACGCTACTCACCTCGAATCGTCCAACTTCTCGACGGATGTTTTTTGATATCTGCTCAAAATCTCTTTCACCCTGCTGCACTTTACCTTCCCACTAAACACACACACACACACACACACACGCACAGAGAGAGAGAGAGACACGAGAGGCTTTATGACTTCAGTGTGTGTGTGTGAGAGTCTGTGTGTGAGAGTGTGTGTGTGTGTGTGTGTGTGTATTAAACACAAAGAGCTGAAAAATGGAATGAGGGTGTGAACTATAATGAATCCTGCATTTAAAAACTACAACTAAACAACACAAGACATCAGCATTTATTAAATACTACAAATGAGCCAGCAGCTGTTAAAGGAACAGTTCACCTAAAAATGAAAACACGCTAAACTTCTTCATCAGGTTTGTAGAAGCGTAGCACTGCATCGGTGTCTCAGCAATGGATGCTCTGCAGTGAATGGGGGCCGTCAGAATGAGAGTCCAAACAGCCGATAAAAACATCACAATAATCCACAGCACTCCAGTCCATCAGTTAACATCTGGAGAAGACAAAAGCTGAAACACACCCAGCATTAAGACGCTTCTAACTAACATACATAGAGTCTATAATCCATAATAACTCTTCCTTCAGTGAAAAAGTGTTCTGGTCTGAATCAGGAGAGAAATCAGCACAGATCAAGCAGCGTTTAAACAGTCCAAAAACATCTTAATGCTGGATTTGTGTCAGCTTTTGTCTTCTCCAGATGTTAACTGATGGACTGGAGTGCTGTGGATTATTGTGATGTTTTTATCAGCTCTCATTCTGACGGCACCCATTCACTGCGGAGCATCCATTGCTGAGACACTGATGCAGTGCTGCATTTCTACAAACCTGATGAAGAAACAAACTCATCCTAATCTTGAGCACATTTTCATTCCAGCTCAACTATTCCTTTAAAGTGAGAGATTAAAGACGCTGTAGTGTTTGAAAGCATGTCAGGTGAGTCTGATGAATCCATAATTAGTCTCTGATCTACAGAATGCAAATATAAGTGCGTGTGAGACAGCAGACGCGACGATGGAGACAGCAAATCAAATCAAAGTGAAAGTCCTACCTCCTCGATCTCCTTTGTGGGGCGTGACGGGGAAAACGCAGAAATTAAAAAGGCTGGAAATGTTTCGTGCTTAAAAGAATCAATAACTGTCATGGATTCCTGCAGCTGTCAGGTGATTCGAGGTAAACACAGCAGAGATATGAATGAACCGAAGGGAGGGAAGGCAAACAAACGTGCTGGATATTTCCCATCAGCCCCAGCGCTCTCTCAGTGTTTCCTCATGATGAGTCTGAGGTGTTCTGTACCTCTCTGATCTCGTCTTTGGCCTGCTGCAGTTTGTCGGGTTTGTTGGCGTGCTGTAGTTTGGCTTCGGCTTCTCTCTTGCGCTGCAGCATCACCTGAGCATCCTGGCATTTGGCCCATGTTTTCATCCGCTGGTCAAACACGCCCTGCAGCACAGACACGTGACAAAACCAGTGCATCATGAAGCCCTGCACTCGTGCATGGTGTTATAGGAAGCCAGAATAGCCATTGCTCTAACACCAGCCTGACATGGCCAAAATATCATGACTGAATCTCATATCACACTAGAAATGATTTTACATCACATTAACATACTGTATGTCATAATAGTTATTTATGATGCACATGCAATGAAAAATAGTTTAATCCTGTGCACTCCTCATTTGGGAGGTCTTCGCGGTCAAAAGTGACCGGACACCTGAAATGTAACTTTTTTTTCTTCAGTAAAATATATTTTTGTTCAATAATATTTGTTTCTTTTCTCGTGTATTTTGAGAGATTTTTATGGTGCTAATTAATATTTATGCAATAATTTGTTTTTGCATTATTATTACTACATTCAAACCTGAACACAGAAAGCATTTTGTTACACAAAACATTAAAATTCTATAAAAATGTAACAAGAATGAACAGGAACGCTTTATCAGAGCTTAATCCTTCTGGGTCTGATCTGATCTGATCTTAACCTCTTATTTCAGTTTTCTGACTCATTTTGGCTACATGGTAATAGTTCATTTGAGTATATATAATTCTGTATGTGTGTGTCTGTGAGTGTGTGCAAGTGTGTGTCTGTAAGTGTGTGTGTGTGTGTGTGTGTGTCTGTAAGTGTTTGTGTGTGTGTGTGTAAGTAAGTAAGTGTGTGAGTCTGTGTGTGTGTAAGTGTGTGTGTGTAAGTAAGTGTGTGAGTCTGTGTGTGTGTAAGTGTGTGTGTGTAAGTAAGTGTGTGAGTCTGTGTGTGTGTGTAAGTGTGTGTGTGTAGGTCTGTGAGTGAGTGAGTGAGTGTGTGTGTAAGCGTGTGTGTCTGTGAGTGTGTGTGTGTGTGTGTGAGAGAGTCTGTGTGTGAGTCTGTGTGTGTGTGTAAGTATGTGTGTGTGTGTGTGTCTGAGAGTGTGCATAAGTAAGTGTGTGTGTGTGTGTGTGT